ATATGACAGCTTCCCTGCACTCGAGAAGTTTGTGTAACCTTTTTAAAAAATGAAATTTATAGGAAAAACTATAATTCATCTTAGATTTCCATTAAAAAATGTGTCATAATGTAATAAAGAAGAGAAAGCCCATCCAACCGAGAAGGCATGGAAAAGAAAATCAAAAAGTCCCGAGAAGAATGTGAAACTTGGGAAGGTGATAGATAGTCCTTTGACAAGTGGAGAATGTTCCTCTGAATTCTGTAAGAGTGCAATTTCTAGAAGTAGTGATGTAAGTGGGTAGTTAGCCTGTGTCTTTAGAACCTAACATTCCTCATTCTTTGCCTCTAGATACCGACTCATTGGTTCCTCGTCTGCCACATGCATCATCTCAGACAATACTGTCATTTGGGATAATGAAGCACCTATTTGTGACAGTGAGTTGAAATATCCCTTCCTATTTCTTTTACCAATACATTCTAATTTTTCTCTGGAATAATACAAATCTTAACCGAATTCCTTCTGTGCAATTTGTCCTTCAGATAGCTGAAGACAGCCGTAAGGTTCTCGAATATTCCTCTGGGGTTCCTGGCAACTCTTTCCTTAAGTTCTTCCTTATCCTGGGATGTGTCTTTTCTAATTCTGGGGGCTTAAGTACATAAAAGCCTTCAAACTTAATTTTACTTTAATAAATTTGAAATTATGTTAGTTCTACCACCTCCAGTGTAATAATCATCCTGCTTGGCAAATCAGTAAAGATTTTTAAAACTGATGCTCTTCAAGGTTAGTGAAGCTTCAGAAGAACCTGGACTTCCATATACCACAAAATCAAGTTTCATCCTCTCGAAAGGCACCATACACCATAAACCTCAGAAGTGGGCATATATTTTAACCTACTTCTTAGAATTGATACTTAGGAAATAAACACAAACTTCTTAAAGCAGTTTGGTGTAAACTTTTCATTGTGGCATTATTTATATTAGTTAAAATGTTAGAGTAACCTAAATGTTTTAAATTATGGTTTGGAAATGATCTACTAGAAAGAAAGAGATGTGTTCAAATGACCACTGTAAAGAATTCCCTAAGAAACATAAAATAGCTTTGCAGAATAAAAAAAAAGTATATACATACACTGGCATCTTATTTAGCCATAAAAAATGATAGCATTAGGAGAAATACCTAATGCAGATGATGGGGTGATGGATGCAGCAAACCACCATGGCACATGTATACCTATGTAACAAACCTGCACATCCTGCATATGTACACCAGAACTTAAAGTATAATAATTTTAAAAAAGATTACATAAAGAAGCAGTTAATGATAAGAAAGAGATGTTTTATGTGGGAAAAAAAAGTCAGATGAACGGCATGTATGGCAATATCTCATTTTATTAAAAAAAAAAATACACCTATGTAGCGGGAGGCCAGGCTGAGGCTGAGAGAAATACAGTGTATAACATCTTTGTCTTACTGTTCTCTTTGGATAACTTGGGGACTTCTTTTCTTCTTATTATTTAAAAATGTTGTTACTTTTGCTAGAAATTTTATGAGCTTCAGAATCTAAGTTTATAAATGACATTGGTTACACATTTATTGCTGTTTATCCAGTTTAAGAAACAGTTTTGATATTTTGTAAAACAAATCAAGAAACTTTCCATCTTATTTATAATCTGTAATAAGGTAACATGGAATTGGAATAGGAATTTTCTTAGAAATATGAACAAAATATTATTAGTAAAATAGAGAAAACAAACAAAATAATACAGCTATACTTGTACCTATATTTTTATCTCTGTTTCTAGTTCTGTAAATTCTCTATATCCAAATGCTGCTAAATGGCTTTAAGTCTTCTTGGAGAAGGCTAGGGGAAGATTTACAACACATGCTTTTGACTGTGTAGCATGGTGCTTCCTCAAAAGGATGGAGTCCATTCATGCTGCTCTGAGCCTATAAACTGTTCAAGTCTAGGAATTGTTGATGTACAATGATTTGCAATGATTCAAGTCAGAATTCTGTTCACTTGACCTAAATCTCTTCTACTCATACAAATCAAATAACACTTTAGTCGGCTATCCATCTACTTTGGTTTTAGAGACTCCATGATGAATTAGCCAGTAACAAAGTTCTCTTCAGTCAAATCATTCTGATTGCTGTTTCAACTCCAATACCCATTACAAGAACCCCCATTGTCTGTGACAATTAAGTGCTACCACTTGGGCTCTGCCACCCTGAGGTCCTTCGATCCCCAGGTGAATTAGGAGAACCCAGTTCAATGGCAACAGTTCCCACTATCATTCCCAGCCTACAGAGAATGAGCTGTCACAGAGGATGCTGAAATTTCCCATGTGAATGTATTTCTCAAGCCTCAGGTAAAAGGTCTATCCTCTGAACCCTCCATTTCTGCACTGTGCCTCATCAACTCTATCCAAGGATGACCTTCAGAGTGGAATGGCTGTTACTTAACATTTGCCTCTCAAATATCAGGGTAGTTTCTCATGCTATAATCCTAGTCCAGAACCATACAGAGAAACTAAGTCTGGAAAACGTAATTCTAAATTGGCCTGGCTGACACTGTACCAAACTACCAGATAATAATTTCATTTAACTCTTTATTTTCTTATCTTTCTTTCCCTCCCTCCTTCCTTCCCTCCCTCCCTCCCTTCCTTCCTACCTACCTTCCTTCCTTCCTTCCTTCCCTCCCTTCCTTCCTTCCTAACCTCCCTTTCTTCCCTCCTTCTTTCCTTCCTTCCCTCCCTCCCTCCCTCTTTCCTTCCTTCCTTCTCTTCCTCCCTCCCTCCCTCCTTCCTTCCTTCCTCCTCTCCCTCCCTCCCTCCTTCCTTCCTTCCCTCCCTTCCTTCCTAAACTCCCTTCCTTCCTTCCCTCCCTTCCTTCCTAAACTCCCTTCCTTCCTTCCTTCCTTCCTTCCTTCCTTCCTTCCTTCCTTCCTTCCTCTTTTGATATCTTCTTTGAACCATAGGCTATTTAGAAGAGCATTGCTTAATTTCTAAATATTTAAAGATCTCCTTGTTGTCATTATTCTATTAATGTAAGCATTTACAACTTCTTGAGACATGTTTTACGGCTCAGAATATGGATGATTTTGGTAAAATGTTATGTATGCACTTAAAAGACTGTACAGTTATTTTGTTTCACTTTCTAGAAATGTCATTTAGGAAAATGTGATTTAGAACAGTCTTTTTCACTCCCCTCCACTTGTTCTCTCGGTTATCGGTTAGGTTATTGGTTATCGAGAGGCATGTGTAAAATATCTGTATTAGCTTCTCAGAGCTGCTGTAACAAATGATCACAAACTTGGTGGCTTCAAACAAGAAAAAAGTTTGGAAGCCAGAAACCCACAGTTAAGATGTCGACAGGATTGGTTCCGTCCGGAATCTGTTCTGTGCCTGTCTCCGGGCTTCCTTCCAGTGGCTGCTGGCCATCTGTGATGTTCCCTGGCGTGTTGATGCATCATTTCCTTCTCTGCCTCCATCTTCTCATTGCCTTCTCCTCTGTGTGTTTCCTTTGCTCTTCTGTCTCCTATAAAGACACTGGACACGGATTTAAAGGCCACTCTGGCAATCCAGGAGGGTCTCAACTCAAGGTCATTAACCTGATTGTTTCTACAAAGACTCTCCAAATTGGGTCACGGTCACAGGTTTCAGAGGGTAGGACACAGGTATTTTTTAAGAAGGACAGTGGTTATTCAACCCATTACAATTCTCAACTGCAGCTATGAATTTGTCTGTCTTCATCTTTGTTCTAGCAATTTTTACTTTATGTATTTTAAACATGTTATTAAAGGCATGAAATGATTGGTTTATTCTATCTTTCTGCTGAATGGACAACTTTATCATAATGAAATGTCTCTATCTCTCATACTTCTTGCTTTAAAATCTACTTTGTACATTAATATAGCTATATCAGCTGTCTTTCTTGTTTCTATATTATGTATGATTTAAATCTTTTACTTTCAGCTCTTTTTTGTCTTATATTTAAAGCTTGTCTCTTATAGTAACGTTTTGTTGTTTCATTCAGTCTTTCTTAGTTGTTCATTGGTGTGTTTGGAACACTTAAATTTAGTAATACAAATTAAAATAAAAAATACATTTAATATAGTTACTGATATAGTTACTGATAAGCCTAACTCTTGGTTATGTTTTTTATTTGTTTTGTGTGTTTATTCCTCATTTCACACATTTTTTAATTCATTAAGTATTTGTATTATTTTATTTTTCCCCAATAACTTTTAAGTTATATTTCATTTTTATTCTTTAAATGACTACTCTAGAGATAGACATCCTTGATCTACTATCGTCTACTAAAAGTGTGCCTTTACCACTCACCAAACAACGCAAGTATTCAAACTATTAATATTTAATTCCATTTACATCCTCCTGTCTTTTTCCGTTGTTGTCATACATTTTGTAAAAAGAAAAACTTCAGCTGAATTAAATTTAAAAGAGTTTAACTGAGCAATGAATGATTCACAAATCAGGCAGCCTCCCATGCTGAAGCAGGCTGAGACTCCAGCCCAGCTGCATGGTGGAAGAAGATTTATGGACTGAAAAAGGAAAGTGATGTACAAAAAAACAGAAGTGAGGTACAGAAATAGCCAGATTGGTTATAGCTCAGCGTTTGCCTTATTTGAAGACAGTTCAAACCATTGGCCACTTTTGATTGGCCAAAACTCAGTGATTGGCGTAAGAGTAGGCTATGGTCTGTTTATGTCTTGACTTGTTGTAGTTCACAGTGTACAGAGAAACCTTTAGGCTAAGCGTAAACTATGTAAGGCCTTAGGCTAAACTTGATTTAACAATTTACACATATTCTATGTCTCAAAAACATAATTATTGTCTTTATAAAAACAATATTTACTTATATTTACACTGTAGTAAATGCTTATAATTTTATGATGCCTCAGCATCCATTTTGAATGTTTAGCTTTCTCATGCCGGAAACAGTCCTTAGTTACCCTTAATGCACTTTCTAGTTCTATTAGTTCTATACCTCCTCCTAATTTTTCAACGTGGTCTAGCCAGATATCTGCCTTATACAACTACCTCCTAGTGACCACCTCTCTATGGGACAGCTAGATGAAACCTACTTGACTAGCATCCCTGACCTCTGTGCCCTGCATGGACTTCACAGGTATGCTGCCGTGACCACCTCTCAGTCACAGCATGACTTCCTGGAACATGTGCCCGCTTTCTTTCAACTCACCAATTAGAACTCCCCATGGGAAACCTGCTGGGGTCATACTCTGGTCCCTAGTAAAGGCATTGGTTGATGAGTCCCTCTCTGCCACCCCCCCGCCTCTCTCTCTCTCTCTCTCTCTCTCTTTCTCTCTCTTGTTTCCTCACACTGCCCAACCTCTGTGATCTTCAGGGGTGCTGTGTACCCCCAGGGCATGTAATAAAATCTTTACTTCCATCTTGTGTTTCTCCTAGTCACTGTAAGAGTTCTCTGTATCTTAAAGATCCTAAATGAAAACATACCCACATATGAGCTCTTTCTGGTGTGTTTCCTTCTTATTACAATTCTATCAATTCCATGTGAAACTATTTTCCTTCAATCTGAAAAAGTCTCTTTGGCAGATTCGTATTGTAGATCTTCTGACAATAAATTCTTTAAACATATTTCTGGTTCCTTCGAAGGTTATTGTCTATGTTTCCTGGCTGCTTTTAAAATGGATTACACTTTAATATAGATTTTTTACAGTATTACTATTTTGTGTCTAGGTAAGAATTTCTTTGTGTTGCTTGGGTTTGTATAACCTTTTTTTTTTTTTT